GGGGGGGGGGGGGGGAAATGAGGAGCTGGCCCGGCAAGAAACTTCTCCTCGGATATTGACATCATCAGCAAACATAACAGAGAGGAAGCGGCTGCTCCTTCCCATCACTTTGTTCAGAGTGTATTGCTCTTCTGTGTTTGTACGTCAGGTACCACGCTATCCCTGTAACACTGCAGCCGGTGTCAACATCAGCTTATGGTCAAGTGCTGCTGTGCAAAAAAAAAAAAACCCCACCACCACAAATTCCTTTCACTGTCGAACCCAGCTGAGAAAACAGAGCTGAATAATAACAACACGATAGATCGGGACAGGATGAACGCATGAGTCTGTAAGGTGCCTCTGTCTTTTTTTTTTCACTGAAAATCTCCTCTGATTGTTTCAAAGTTCACTGTACATGAGGGGTTGGTTTTTTTTTCTTTTTCATTCCGAGTCAAACATAAGCAATAAGCAGGCATTTGAAAAAACAAAAACAAGATTCAATAAACAAAACGTTGTCATACTGAAAGTATATTCATCCTTTAAGATTGCACTTTACTGATTGCTAATCACAGCACAAAATCAACCAAAGATTTCAAGAGGCTCGACGTAGAAAGAATAGCACTGATGTCGTTTGGGCAGTCTCGTGATAAATGATGTGCTTCTCTGCTGGTGCCATGATGTGCATGTCCATTTTTTGTAATCGTTCATAATAAACGGATGACTCAGTGGAGGTGTTGGTGAGGTTGATCCTTCCGGCTTGGGATGGTGTCGACTGTTTGCTGGCTGTAGGGAAGGTGAAAGTCCAGCCCACTTTTAGCATCTATGCGAGAACCAAACAGCAGACTCCAGCAGGCAAAGGAGGCCAATCCGCGGTTACATGGCGCCCCCTGCTGTTTGTAAATCAGACTCCGGTGGAAAGCAATACTGCCTTTAACTCCAACAAGGTCCCTGCGATCCAGTCCAGGCCTGAAACTCTAAAATCCATTCCATTCAATGGTGTCTTTCACATTATGAAATGCTGGAAAAGCAGCAACTGGAACAATATAGTGAAAAGAAAGAAAGCGAAAAAAAAAAAAAGGGTTGCGATTGCATTATATATATTTTTTTTGTCCAAATGAAGAGTTTGTTTTAAAAATCAAAGTGAAACATTTATGAACAGTGCTGTAAAAGACAGTTCCCTATTAGACTCCGATAAAAGATCCTGCCGTCTGCTCCTTCCAACCCCAAGAAGATCCAGACGTGACCCTGTGTTTTGCTCCGCAAGCTCCGTGCACCTCGACGTCTCCTCGCCCTCTGACGGATGAGAGTGTGTGTGTGTGTGTGTTTGTCAATGTGTAAGTGTGTGTGTGTGTGTGTGTGTGTGTGTGTGTCTGTGTGTGGTGTGTGTGTCTGTGTGTTCATCCAGGCCAGCTGAAAGACATTCACAGGGAGATCCCGCTCCCCCGGCTGCCTATGTGTGTGTTTGTGTGTTTGTATGCATTGATCTCTCCCTCGCTTTTTCTCTCTCTCTCTCTCTTTATCTCTCTCCGTCTGATTCACACCAGCATATGTCTCCGTCGGTGCAGAGCCAAGTGGTCAGATCTGGAGAAGCTGCGGTCACAGTCTGCGCACTTGAAGGGTTTGACCCCCGTGTGTTTTCTGTAATGCCTCGTCAGCTCATCAGAGCGGGCGAACTTCCACGTGCAACCGTCCCAGGTGCATTTGTATGGCTTTTCCCCTGGAGCGGAAGAGAGAGAGAGGAAAAACTCAGTGTATGTTGAATATCCAGTGGGTCACATGTTGGTACTGATGCTCTGTGGGTGAGGATGTATCCCCCAAAAAGTTGTAAGTTTGCACTTGTTGGTTCACAACTTTGCTTTCACTTTCTTTAACATTGCAAGACGGGTTGTTTTTCAACATTTTCACATTTTTCCCAGAAAATAAAACCTGATGAAACACATCAGACATATCGAGGGAACTGATATCTATGATTGTGTGAAACTTGTTTGAATTGACGGAGAATGTTGGGGACGTATTTGCTCCACCGAGTTACATTGTTATGAGTATTGCTGTTATAATGTTAACAGCAATGTTATAAAAACAACCTTGAAGCAACTCTGTGCCTTTTTTCTTCCCATAAAACAGCAGCATAAAAATGAGTTTGATGATTCTCCTGTGAGGAACTAACTGAAGTGTGAAGCTGAACTGTGGATCACTTTGAAATACTCAGAAATCATTACAAATAAACTTCGTTTATCTCCGATATTCAGTGTGGAAACTTAAAATATCCAGAGTTTGTTTGTATTTGTTGCTCTCCTGGTTAAGGAAGCAGAGGATCATGGGTAATATCCTCATTCAGAGCTTTGATTTTCACTGCATGAAAACCACTTCATCACTCGGACTCGGAGCGCAACAACAGAATCATACTCAATGTGAGGCTGCAGAGGGCGCTGTTGCTCAGTAAAAGGTAGTTTAAGGTCAAACATGACTAATGCTACAAACCTGTATCTCTGTTTCCTCTGTGCTGCCACTTTAAATGTCAGCTGTGTACTGTATTGTTTCATTATAAGGTGTGGTAAACAAATGGTATTATCAACACAACCACACACCTTTGGTTTAAAGCAGACAATGAACTACCAGGACAAGCCTTAAGGCAGCGATTACAACAAGGCGACATAAAGCCTGATTATAAGAAACTATAAATGAAACAATTAAAGTATAGTCATATGTTCTGTCTTCAGATTGACTTTACATGACACACGGATAATAACATTCAGAAACTCTTATGAGGCATCATGTTGTTTCGGTGCTAGACAAGAACAGAACATGATGCATCACTTCCTGTTTGACTCAGCAATGTTTGTTTTCTTCTTATCACTTCATACAAGTGAAAATAGTTATTCTAGTTATTTTAAGAGGTTAGTTTAGTTCAAGATTAGAAAGTTTGCATAACTTGAAGCAGATGGCAAAAGTCTCGTCAGCTCGCTTCAGTGGATTTCTAACTATCAGGTCTCAGTTTCAAAAGAAACCTTTGGACCTTTTTCAGTTTGGCTGGTTTACATACACACAATGTTCAATCGAATTTGGAAAGAAAGATGTGTTTGCTTTTGTCGTTGAATGTTTCTTTTCTGTTACTGAAATTGCCTTTGTCTTAGTCGTCATTTGGGATTGACCTTTAGTCCCCTGTAATCCAGATTCAACTGTGTACAAATTCTTCAAAACGACTGTGGCACTAGTAGAATATTACCCCTCACCCCACCCTCCCCTGCCAAACATGACAGAGAACCTGTGGCAGCCTTCAGTTGTCAGAAAATCTCAAAAGGTGTTTAGTCCAGTCTAAGATACTGTAAAAAAACATGGTGGCCTCCGTCGAGATGACCTGCTCCTGATGTAAATATAAAGTATTTAAATATAAAGGGGCCACTCTAGGGTAAAGAAAACAACAATTTGTACGATTTAGATGAAACACACTAGTGAAAACATCCCTAGGATTATTTTATATTCAATTTCTGCCAGTAGATCCCTTTCACCTAAGTCTTACAGCCCTTTAACATACACCCTCCGTCTTACTGACCTGTATGCGTCCTTCTGTGTGCTTTTAAATGGGAGCTTTTGGTGTACACCTTATTGCAGCCCTCAAAGTCACATCTGTGGATTCTCCTCTTTTTGGAATCTGGAGACTCTGACCTCCGAGGACGCCGTATGCTGTCAATACTGAACGGGGAAATGGAACTGCAAGAAAAGAAATACAAATTGATGAAGAGTTATTAGAAAAAGACAATGATGTGTTCAAGTTTCAGCAGTATGTCATTTTTTTTCACACGGGACAAGTAGCAAAAAAAAACCTACTCAAAACATTGTGATTTTCGGTGTAGTGTTGAAGGACACAATGAATGCACAAAGGAAATTGATGAATCGCATTCAGCTGCAAAAACACAAAGTTATTTTGGATGAGATTAGGAAAAAAAACTTCTTATTGTCTCTTTCAGTTGAAGTTCAGTTGAAAGTGACATTTTTCAAATAGTTCAGGACCAAACTTCCTGATTCATTTCTGAGACATATTAAAGAAAACACAAATCTGTAAAATGCATTTTATTGTAGTTTATGCAATGGTACATATTGCAATGCTATCAACTGTTAGCATTTTTTACCTCCACAGGAACATTTTGTTTTCATTACTGTTTCTTCGTCTGTCTGAGATGTTGTGTGTTTTTTCTTCTTATACATTTTCACTGATTTCTCAAAGAATGGAGAATTTCTCAATCCATGGATCTATCTGTGTGCAGTTCAGTGCAGAGTGATTGACTTTAAGTGGACTGTTGGAGGCATACACTATGGGGCCATTCTAGTTTTAGGTCAGTGTGGTGAGTGTTCATGTAAGTTTTCCCAAATATTGTAGAATATCATTGAATGAACTTCTTGCATACAGTAAACGACTTAATGTAAAGACACCATAGTATACACCATAATATACTATAGCTTATATTCTAATAGGTAGTTGGTAGGACAGTAGCTTTACCAGCAGGTGGCACTGTAATACCGCTGTAGCCTAACAGGGGTTAGCAGATGAGGTAAGACCGCTGGTATTCACTCTGCTCCCAGACTTCCATCAATCAAAGGTGGAAACTGTTTATTTCCAAGTGTTTTAAAGTGAGCTTAATGACTCCTGAGCCTATTTCTACCATCAATACTTTTTCACCATGACATTTCCTCTCCAATAGATAATCAATAGATCAGCTGATTATATCATTTGTCACCCTAATCACTGAAGTCCCTGCAGCAAAGTTCTGTGTGTGTGTCTGTGTGCTTTTGCTGCCATGCACATATGACTTGTCAGTGTAGTGTGTATAGATTATTTGCTGAGACGTATCATATCATATCTGTGTTAAATCTAAATTTGGTCACACGTGTGTACAACTACACAGAAATAAATGAAGGAGGGAACAAAGAGGAGGTAGGGTGGTCTCACCAGGGACTGTGAGCCATGAAACCTTTCACACAGTAATAAACACATGACTGCAACACACACACACACACACACACACACACACACAGAGAGAGAGAAAACTGTCAAGAAAGATACAGTCGAGAAGGAAAACAAGAACATCTCTGTTTACGAGCAGGGAGGAGTAATATCTGTGGGATATGGTTAACAGGGCGATCTCGGCACAAACAGTTTTCTCAGTTCAGAGTTTTTGTTGTGAATATTGAGAAAAAGGGTTAGAGGTTGAGCTGAGCCGGGGAACGGAGAGACGGAGGAAGAGAGCGGGTAAGCACCGGAGGATTCGAAAGAAGAGTGGGGAGCATTAGACAGGCCGCCAGTGTCTGTGTCTCCTCCACCGCACAGACGCCACTTCCTGTCTCTGTCTGTCTGTCTGTGCAGATTTGTCAAACACAGACTCAGATATTTAAGCGTGCAATCAACACACACACACACACACACACACACACACACACACACAC